CAAATAGTTCAATCTGGTTGGATCTCTCTTGCAGTGGAGTAAGAGGTATAGGAATCAATCCCCTTTATACAACCTTGGAGAGGGATATAAATGAACTTGTTTTTTAAGCAAAGAGAGGGATGGTGTGGGTTGTTTGATTATATAAAAAGTTACAATCAAGCTTTAATGGGTTAAAACCCAGTATTTGTGGACATGGTATGTCCATCCAGCCGAAACAAGTAATTCATAATACTAGAAGCACCTTTCAATTCTTAGCCTCTAGGCACTGGCCTGCGCATGGTTGTCATGCATGAATATGATAAAAATAAACTTTCTATAGCCAATTTTCACTAAGAAGCTCATCCAGGATGCCTTCACTTATGATGTAGAGAATGCATCAACAATTTGAAAAGTTATGTTTTCTCATTGATTAGATCCATTCATCACAAATCCTGCATTTGTAGGTACCTATTGCTGCCTCTGTTACACTCTTCGAAGCTATATACTTGTACAAAGGAAAGAGGGTGATTGCATCAAAGGGAAAAGAAAGTACAAATTGGAAGATACATCAGGTTTTGTTTTACTGTTCCTGTGGGATAGTAGCTGGTATGGTGGGTGGATTACTTGGGCTAGGAGGAGGTTTTATCTTGGGACCACTTTTTCTTGAATTGGGAATTCCCCCTCAGGTATGCATCTACTATTGTCAAGCTTCTTCAATAAACGAAAAAAGGTGATGGAAGGAAATGGTCACCAGAAGACATAGAAAGATAAACATTTTATACTTGCAATAAGTTTCATATCATTTCCAATAGTCAAACATATGTTTCCTATCCCCACCCCCAGTTTTGAATATCACTCAATCTATTGCCATAACCATATGGCGCTTTAGTAGAAGGGTGAATTTAGATTATTACACTTACAACAAAATCTGATATTCAACTTTGTTATTCATATGAAACACACAACAAACTAATAAGTAACAGTTTAGTACCTTGCCATCGTCCAAATCAACTCAAATGGCCACAGTTTAGAGGACATGTTCAACCCTTTCAATCTGCTACATGCTACACCGCACCTCATCCCAACCCGCCTGAAACAGGGACGGGCAAGTGGTGGAGGGGCATAGTGTACACCTTTTTGCAAAAGGATATGAACACCAACTCATAAAATTTGTACATTTTTTGGCAGGTAGCAAGTGCCACATCAACATTTGCAATGGCATTTTCATCCTCAATGTCAGTTGTGCAATATTATCTTCTCAACCGTTTCCCTGTCCCGTATGGTAAGTGATAGCAGTGAAACATAGAAGTAGAATCATTTGCCAGAAGTGAAACTCATATTTAACTATTTCTATTATATAATATATCAAGATTAATCTGGCTCTATATCTACTTGGCTGCAGCTGCTTATTTTGTTTTGGTTGCGACAATAGCTGCCTTCACTGGTCAGCATGTAGTGAGAAAGTTAATTGCATTCCTTGGCAGGACGTCAATAATCATTTTTATACTAGCTTTGACAATCTTTGTGAGTGCCATCAGTTTAGGTAAAAGGTTCTTCAGCTTCTTTGATTTAATTTGAAAGCGCAACTTCAATCAAAGATGTTCAATTTCAAATTTTCTAATCATATATTGCAGGTGGAGTGGGCATCGAAAACATGGTTGAGAAGTTGGAGAATAGAGAATACATGGGATTCGAAAATCTGTGTCACCAATCCTGAATTCTATTGGTATAGTAGTGTGAGCAGACTACGCTCAACTGCATTCAGTTTCATTGTCACCTATTTTGT